TAATAGATGTGCTGTATGTTTTGAGAATTAACAGAAATAGTACTCGATATTTAACTTGGATTTTTCCCCAATGTGAAGTTATGTGGAGTCACAACTATGGAAAACGTGCATATAACATGTTTGCATCATAGGTCTATCTTCTGACCATGAATTAGGGCTGCACAACAAAGCTGAAATGTCATCTGCATCAGACCAGAATGTGTATATTCTGAAAAGCATTGTATTTAAAGTCCACATCTGCCTGCTGGCCGTCTAGATAAACCAAGACTTTATTAAATGTTGAGTTTGCTGCAAAAAGGGTTTTATGGCAGTCGGCCAATTAAAAAGGTCAGTTTTTTAGTTAATCGGCCATTCAGCTTTTTAAATAGTTGTGTTTGTCATAAAATACGAGTTCTGTTTAAAAAGTTATGCCAGGTTGACCCTTAAAGTGGAAGTATTAAGGGAAGTCAAACTGAAAAAAAAAAAAACAACAAAAACATTTGATTGTTTGGGCATCATTTACACCCAAAGAATAAGAGACAATGGTGCAAGGGCAACATTGAAATTGAAAATTGGTTTGTTCCATGAAAAGTTTCGGCTCATTTCAAATTTGATTTCAGAGACATGTTTTCCAAATAGCACTAAAGCGATGAAATGCTAAAATAAAACAACTGGAGGAGCATTTCAGCTTAATTTAGAACAAATAAGTAACCCTGACTGAGTATAAAGGGCTTCCCCCAGCGAGTCTGAGTCACTGAGTAAAGATAGCAAGAGGTTCACAACTCTGTGGGAGACCACATGAGCAAATAGTTCAAAAATTTCAGGAAAAAACAAACAAACCTGAGCACAAAGAAAAATTGGGGATTTTTCAACTTCTCCAGATCAGTATAACCAGAAGATTAAGAGAATTTGTATAAAAGAGACTCAGCTGAACACCAATGCTTCATAGTTGTGATCTACGGCAGAACTGAATCAGAAACAGATTTTACTCTGTAGTTATAATCACTACATGGGCTCAAAATCATACCCAAAAAAACAGTCATATTTACACAAACGCAGGCTAACTATGCAAAGAGGATTTAAAACTTTACTTTAGATTTCTCAAAAATAGTTGAATAGATCTACTCTATGATCCCTCTTACACATTTCTGATATTCAGCCAAAAGTAGCTGGAAAATATTGTATTTTTGCAAAATCCTAAATCAGGAATGTACTGTAGACCTTACAGTCTCCAATACCAGCTTATTTCATGTCCTTCTGATGTACAGAGCAAAACCCGAGACGGCCTTTGGCTGCTGGATATTAGATTGGTACTGCACTGTATGTGCAATAGCTCTAAGTAAAGACTCTATTCATTAGTAGATCTAACGACGTATAGATTCCTGCTTTCTGTAACATCAGCAGCTTTGCCACAATGTTCACCCTGAGCTTTATGTTCGAACATTTGTCTGTGCTATGTTCCATCGCGTCTAAACCGTTAAAGGACCATTTGTTGGACTTATTTTCCCCATTTTAGCCTCCCTTGCCATCAAAAAGTGGCCTTCACGGGATGACCCCGCAGGACAACTACAGGGCTGCAGGTGAGTTACTGTAAATGAGGACCATTGTTCTAGAGGGCCTGTAATGTCTGCACTGCCCTAAAGACACAGTGCTGAGAGAACATAGAAAACAGGCTGCAGTAGTACTAAGATATGTGCTGAAAGTATGTGCAGTATTTTGATAGAAAAAATATATCCAAATGCACATGCCTGTTCAGCTGAAGGATACATGAAGCATTCATAGAAATACATGTTTTTAGAGAGTGCTTGTATTCCTGAAAAGCCTTGCTCTTCTCTGTGCATTTTAGAATATTAACCAGTGCTTCTAATTTCAAAATGTAAAATACCAGACAGACAGGCACCAGGATACTCATCTGTCACGCTTTGAAATACAAATTGGAGTTGGCTCCATTGACAGAGAATTGTAAGATTGAATTCGGGAATGCATATAATATTGATTTGAGCACCCACTTCACACTGAAATGAAGTGTCGCTCTTGGTAGACACTGTACAAGCCAAAAGTGAAAATAAAAGCACTCAACTTCTCATTCTGTCCAAGAAACTGTAACAGTATCGCCACAATGCTGTGCCATCACATGGCTGAGTGTGCTTAATACATTACTCGAGAGCTGATGGAACTGTGGAGTACATGCGCACACACTTTCACACACACACACAAAAACACACAGAGGAAAACGAACTGAATTGTCTGGGGTGAAAGGATGAACTACACTCATAATTCAGAGGCTGTCTGCTCTCTAAGCTCACTGGTGGATTTTTACTTCCATCTTCAGGAAGTTACCTAAACTGCAGCTTATGTCCTTCACTGAGTACAGCAAAGAACATTTCACTGGTATAGAGATAAGATTTAATGCCACAAAAATACACATGTAATTCTCTGGCAAACATTAACATGTGCATGTGGTTCATTTTGACGCTATTAATCGTTTAGTTTTATAGTGCAAGTCTTTGACCTTTCTTAAGTGGGTAGCTGAGGCATCCTGAACATCCCGCAGAGCTGCTTCTGCTTCACAGCTGCTACGTGACCTGGATTTACTGAAAGCTGCAGAGACAGCAGAATTAACAGCAGTGTGCAGATGTTACATCACTAGCAAGGACACAAATGCTTCCTAGTGTATGGCTCAACTGTTTTAATTGTCCATTCCAAGTTAGAATGGATGGTGAAAAGAGTAAATATTGAAGAGGAGTGCATACTGTTGTATAATATGATAAAGTGCATGCTGGGAAGAGTAAATACTTAAGAAAAATCTATCTTAATTTTTCAGGTCTTTCTTAAAATTAATGCATTATTGTTGCATAGATGTCTCATTAGCACAATATTCAAACAAACACCTTTGAGCTAAGCATACAGGTGCAGCTTTTTAGACTCAGCGGGCAACAGCATCTCAAAAGCCTATGTAGCGCTACCTCAGAGTGTGTCAATCACTACTGAAATGTGAAAACACAAAGACACACAGAAAGAAACCAAAGTGGAACCCCTGAACAGAGCAGATGCTTGCATTAACCATGCATGATATTGGCATGGACAGGGCATTTCAAATATCTAAATAATAGCAGTCAAAAAGAATCATTACCAAGTTATTTATGATATAGTTGAGTCACTGTTTTACAAAAAAAAGTAATGGTTCACCAAAAAAAAAAAAGAAAAAGGTCACTCCTCACTAAATTGGTTTAAATTTTGTCTGAAGTTCAGTAGATCAAACTTTAAATGTCAAATGCAGGTAATACTTAATTGCGCAATACACTGACAGCTGTTGAGTGGTTGGCAGTTTTTTCTCATTAAGATAGGAGTCTCTGGAAAATCATGTCATGCCTTATCTAAATTGGAATCAACAAATCTATATATATATGAGAAACATGTATGCAAGCATGGTGAAGTGTTATATATGTACTTATGTTAGACTGCAGACATGGCATATCATTTTTTAAAGCTCTATTTTTTTTGGAAGTTGGCAACAAAAAGGATAAAAACCGGACAACAGGGACACAACGGTGACAGTACAAGGCAACACAGAGAGATGCAGTTAAAGAGGAAATGCATGAGTAACTGCAGGGGGAACTCACACTGCTCCAGAAACATTGGCTACAAGTCAGCCAGCCCCAGCTTGAGCCAAGAGGACATAAACATGCAGGTTTATCTCTGCATCTCTGAGCCAGCCACACCACTTGACAAAATGATAAAGACTGACAAAGTGCAGCTGTGCCAAAAGTACAGAGATAAAGACCAGGCTGATGGAAGCCAACAGCTACAACCAGCAGTTAAAATGCTGCAGCGAGTTTAACCTGTTGTTGTTTTAGTCAAATTCAGCATGCAGGAGGACATGAGGAACAGGAGAGTTCGTCCAAGAAGTTCTGAATAAATGCTTTAACCATCTTAGCAGGTGTTTATATGACCTGATGCAGTAGCTTAAAGCCATAGTCACTTCTTTGGCAGTAAGTTGTATAACCTTCTCCAAAACCCCCAGGCTGAAACATTGCTTACTTGAGCTCAATTTTTGCCCCCTCTTTACACAATTTAAATTCAATGCAGCCAGTGTCCTTTTAAATCCCAACCATAACCTTTGTCCAATGACAGAGAGGAGTGTTACTTTGCAGATTAAGGTGTTTTGTCCAAAATAAACCCATAAAATATGATAAACGAGTACAATCATGTAAGTACACTGTAAGTAAATTTGGAGCCACTTGGAACACTAACAATATTAAAATGCGCCATTCAGGATGATTCATTCACAACAGGAGAAAATAGGGTTCTACTGATTGTAAAATCCCTTCAGTTTCCAGTTTATAAGGTCCCAATTTGGTTCGATTTGTGATTTGGTTTCATTTATTAATGATTCATCTTGAGCGATTTCAGCTACAAACCAATTTTGTCTCAATCTGAAGTTCTTCTTTTACTGCCACCCTGCCAGCTGACTGAGCACAGCTTACAGTACTATTGACAGTTGTGAGGTATAGATGAATCCACTGTCTGTGACCATTTCACTAATACTCCCGCCACCCCTTCTGATGGTCACATCATTCCTTGAGCTGGAGAGTCTTTTCAACCAAATCAGCACATCTATGTCTTTAAGCACCTACACTTTGTTGTAGAACAGTAAAATATAGATTTATAGCATTTCTGTGGTGTGAATGTAAATTATTACAGCCCTTCATACCAGTTTATTCGAGTTCTTGCTGATCATTACTCTGATGCACAAAGCGCTTTTCTTTTACATACAGTTCAAAGGTAGCTATTTCATATAAATGCTGGTGTATCATTAAAATGTTGTGTGGTCAGAGTGAATAAATGAGACTTTAGAAGCCAGCAGTTTCACATACAGTTTTACCTGTTTAAATGAACTCAAAGGTATGAGTGCAGTATTTTACCTCCATGCTGAAAGTCTTGTGTAATCTCTTGTCCATCTTTCAGGTTTGTCTTTGGCTTCAGTGGAGCAGCTCCAGGTAGTCGTCTCTCATGTGGCCTGATCTTGTTGTGTGAGGCTTGTCTTATGGGACTGGGGGCCACCTGCAGGAAAGGGAAGGTATTAAAACATCAAAATAAGACTTTAATAAGACCATTCATCGATTAGGCTGATAAATGAGGCTGATTAGAAAAATTAACAAATGTTCACAAGCTTTACAGGCAGCAGCTAATCTGACAGGGAGATCAAAATTCCCATTAAATAAAAACATTTTTAATGATGGTGGATCAAATTTTACAGCTACTGACGAATGTTTGATATGTATTCTGTTGTGTGGTATAGAATAATGGCGTTTAATGTTTCCTTAGGCGAAGAGATGTCCTGTTTGGGTGCAACCTGCAGCATGGCCCCTCAGCACATTTTTCTTTAGTTTCATATTTAATTTAAAATCTTTCTCAAATCTGTTTCTAGATAAGACAACCATGTGTATAAGATTACAATGTACATGGAATAATGGCTCTTATTATGATTGAACTGTTTATGAAATGCAAAAAAAACAACAACAATGTGATATCTGCATTATATATCAGCCATCGGCAAACCGTCTTTTTAAATATCAGCACCGATATCAGCTGATAAAAAACACTGACTAGTCAACCTCTTTTAAAATATTTTGGGATTATTCTGACGTGTAACACGTGTGCGACAATCTGAGTAGTAACTTTAATTTCCATTTTATCTTGTTGCAATTTGTGTGTGCATATTTTATTTTCAGTGGGTTTCATTGCTGTTGTTTCATTGTTTCTTTCCCCACATTGTCGCCAGGGGTCAAATAATTTCTGAGCCATTTCCCCGCCTTTGTAAAATCCTTTGAATAGCCTCTGTGTTTGAATTGTCCAACATAAATAAAGATTACTCGCCTCTCCTAGCCTGGTCTATTAGCAGAAAATTAGAAATGGATTCAGCCAGTCTTCTGTAGGGTATTTCAACCTGACCTAGAGACAACAAGTAATAACACAAACCAGCGAGAAAAAGCGGGGGAAAGTCCGTCTAATTATAAAAATGAAATTGCTTATTTATACAGAGTTTGCACAAGGGTTTCCACAATGCTCCTCATCATTGTTGCTAGACATTGCATGTTATATGTTGGGCTGAAAGAATAAGATGAAAAATGCAAATAACTGTATGTTGCAGGAGCACAGTTTGTTCATTTGCATTTGCGGTGACACGTCTCAGTGGGAGGAAATCAACATATACTGATGTTTATAGAAAACGAGGGAGAGAAACATGGGGCATTTAGCACCGGGACAAAACAGGCCTGATTTATGGGTACAACAACATCGTAATAATCGACCCTGATTATGATGACTTGAGCTAAACAGATTCATAGCAGAGAACATTTCCTCTCTATGTTCTACTCGCAGTTGTGACAGAGGAGAAGGATTTGAAATTCCCATTAAAAAGATTCAGAGACACCCCAGCTCTGCCCTGCCACTCCTGACAACCTGCTGCTGTGTGGCTGTGACAGGTCCCTGTAAATTCAGGCTCAGCCCCCCAGGGTCCCACATATCTGAGCTGCTCTGAAAGAAGCCACGTCCAAACCACGGGGCTTTTCTGCAGCCACAGGCCCCTTTCTTGATGCGGGGAGAGAAATCCTCAAAAAGCAAGCAGCCCACAGCAGCTGTCGTGTATTTCAGCCTGCTTCAGATATCAGTGGTGGTTTGTGAGCTTTTCTTTAGCCGTGCTTTAAACAGGAGTGATGAGGCATTACAAAAGGCTCTTTGTTCTATCCAAGAAGACAGAAAAGAAGTCAGCAGTCCTGCCCACTCCATCACAACACTTCACTTTGTTCAGCCTCTGTTCAGCTCATGGCACACCAGGCAACACTGAGGAGCATGAGAGGTGGGCTTTAAATCAATTCAGTGTTTATTTAGATTTACTTAACTTACATAAGAGACAGTTATTTTATTATTTCATGAAGAATGTGGCAGCTTTATGGAAAAAAAAAGTTTTTTATTTGTTAGTTTTGCCATTAAAACTGTATTTTCTTACATAGCTGTAGTTTGCTCGCTGTCTACATCCTGTGTGACAGTTATTTAAGTTTACATACTGCCTACATCTACACATTTTGTGTTGACTTTTGGAAACTAAAAAGCAAAATTGGACACAGAACATCTTTCAACTTTTAATATTTTACTTATTTAGTCAATCTTTTTCATATTTTTAATCCTCAGACACTGCTCTTTACAGAAAAAATATGCTGTGACGAAATATAATTAACTGTTTTAAGAAAAAATATTCATTTATTCTAAACTTAATGCCAGTCAGGAACAGAACAAACAATCTGTAAGAGATTCGCAACATGACTTGTTATAAAGGTCGTTCTGGAGAGGCTGAGTCTCTCTGGAGTAAAATAGGAGGAGGATCACCACTCTGTGAGAAAACGTCAAGACTCCAAGCTCCGCCCCTCTTTGCCCTGCTCCGCAGGCCAAGTAGTGATGACAATGACAGAACAACTGTGTGCAGTAGCGGATTGCAGTGCTTGTAAGAAAGCCAGTTATGATATTAGTCTTCATCATGCCCCCCAAGACATTAGTGTCCGAGAGCTGAATAGCTCCTATGTTACCTGTCACTTTAGCTGCACTGGCAATGTTAGGCTACAAGCTAGCGTGGAGCTCTGCAGAAGAAAAGCCCTTAAAATGACGCAGACAATGTGATTTTAGCATTATCACAATTTAAAGACCACTGATAACACACAAAAAACCTTTAAAGGCATAAGGAATCCTGAAAATCTCTGTGTAAAATAAACAAGATATAAAACCAACACTGGGTAGGTCTGATCTTTAGACCATCTTCACCGGTCTCGCAATCTGATCTGATCTGATCTAATCATCTTGTCAACAATTCAGTTTGATTTAATATCACACTGCATTTTGTATCCATAGGTTTTCTATGCTACTGCTTTTAGTGCAAGCTGTTGGATAAACCTGAACTTCTTTTATTTGTAGGAAATATATTAAAATCAAATAATGTCTACAGAAATGTTTAACATTGTAATACACACCTATACCAGATAGTGTGGGAGGTTACAAGGAGCTAGCTAGACCTTCATTATAAAAAGACTACAAGAAATATGGGATAGACTAGCCATCTACACTGCTTCTATTTTTATATAAACTATGCACATTATGGTCATTGCTTGTTGTGGCTAGCAAAGCAGACTAAATATGTCAAATATTTGCAATAATACGTTTTAAGGTTGCTCTCTGCAGCTCAATATAAACCCCCAAGTTTATTATCTACATTATTTTGTTCTTTTTCTCCCCTGTGTGTCCTTTCCATTTCCTCCTAACTGTATACATTACAAACACGGAAGATAATCAGAGTATTAAAGGGACGTGATAACGGTGATATTGTGTTTGTGTCTGTTACAGGGAGCTGGGGGGAAAAGCAAGCGAGTAAGAAAGCACATCACACCACCACTCCGAAAAAAAACACAAAAAGTGCTGAGGACCATAAAAAGCTGCATCTGGTCTGCAGTCCACCAGCTGAAGAGCCTCCTTTATGTCCCAATCACTAAAAAAAAAACTGTTTGTAGGGTTGCTGATGTCCCAAACAGAGGTACATAATATACAGAGCCCAAAATGAACATCTGCTCAGCACCAAATGAGGAGTAGATTTTCCATTTGGTCCATAATGACTGGATGGGCAGGTGCATATATGAAAAAAAAAAAAACACCAAACCCTAAAAAAAAATTCTAACAAAAATGGTTTCTCAGCTGTTTTTTTTTAGATATCCTTAATAACATACCAAAAGTTTACCAAAGTTTGACCACTAGACTGCATAACCCTAACCCTAACCCCAATACCCCAGCATTACCCCAACATAACCCTTACACTTTTCAAAATGTATGCAAATTAGTGCATATTTAAAGATATTTCCTCATTTAAATATTCATACATACATTTGATAAAACTTGTAATACAAAAAATATTTGTCTTAATATTAGTTATAAAATTTTACCCTATTCACCTGGGGTGTCTCCCCGGGCTTCCTACCTATCATGGACACCATCTTGAAAATGACACCTTTCTTGTGGTCAAACTTTGGTAAGCTTTTAGTATGTTATTAAGGATATCTAAAACTATAAAAAAAATAGCTGAGAAACCTTTTGTTATAATTTTTATTGGGGTCAAGTCATATTTGCACCTGACTAGGCTGTCTGAACAAGCATACTGCATGACAAAAAGAAGGAAACACTCTCATCCAAACTGTGCTGAAGTTTTCTAAAAAAGTGCTGCAACTAAAAAAAACCACAAAGTAGATTAGGTGCGTGCGTTAGTAAATCAGTGCGTCTGTTGCTGTTTGGGTTGAAGATGTTTGTCACGTATTGTATGACGTAAAAAATAAACAGTAAACACAGCAGCCAACTATTCCTAATTACGCCGCTATGAGAAGAGCCCTGACAAGGTTGGAAGACAGAGTAGAATGACAGCCTGAGCTTGTCAACGCTAAGGAGACTGGCCAGGTGCTCCCAGGTGCTACAAAACCCTGCCCACCAGCAACCTGCAGAACTGACAAAAGGGAACCAACAAGCAGGCCCTGCGCAAGTGGGCGGGCCATCACAATTGTACACACATTGGGTTATTAAAAATTTAAACAATACTTCGCTTTTACTTGTGTTTAGCTAACAGCATTTGTCTGGCTCTTCTGCTTCTGCATGTTGGAGCAGGCTGATATATAAACATAATTAAATGTCCTGTGATGTTCAGATACACTAAGCGATAAATGCAGAACCACCCACTTCTGCATTGCAATGTAAAAACAATCATTTCAGCACATGTATAAAAGTCCAACCACTTAGCATGAATAGTTAACACATCTGGAAAAGCGTGTCATTTCATTTCGAGTGTGCAGCAGATGGAAATTAAGATGATAACCATACATTATCCTACTTTTGACATCGAGCTGACACTAGACTGTGAGTAAGAGCCCGCCCAGCACAATGTAATAATATACACAGTGGTGTAACTCTCAGGCAGGGCTCAGGTACATGGAGTCACCACCATTAAACTGTTAGATTTATTCAATACCATTTCTTTCACATAATAAGCCGTGCTGGTAGGGCTGGAAGTCCAGCTTGTTCTATATGTCTCATCGACTCCTGAATAGATGGCCTTGAAATTTCCCAGTGTGCCATCCAGTGTCTGAAAGACTGAAGCTGAGTTTCTTTAGCTCCCTAACCCGGCCCGACGCTCCACACCAGATATAAAAGCAGCTTCTGGTGGCCTCGCTCTCTCTCTCTCTCTTTGGCTCTCGCTCTGACTCCCCTAACGCTCCCCACGTCTGATCAGCTTCGCATCATTACCATTAGTTAGATCTTGTGTTAGTGCTCACTCACCCACATGCACGCTACTGATTTTACAAAATCAACAAACCTAATACTTAATTATCGCTGATCTGTTTATTTATTCTAATTTGTAATAAATATCTTACTTACTTTAGTCAACTTTGATTCCGACATCATGAGCATGGTTATGACAAAAATCAATCAACAAAGTTGTAGGAGACAGCTGCCTCTCCTGTAGCTCTTCAGTACTGAGTGCTTTAAACCTTTGAACTTCTTATCTCACCTTCCTGTCACCTTTATTTTATTTTTTTTTCCTCATTTTAATCTTCTCACGGTGACACATTGTGCTTTTATTGCTTTTTCTTTTTTTGTGTGTTTTTATACATTTCCCAATATGTGGGAAAGGCAAAGGTGGCGGACTCATCATATATGTTAACAACCAGTGGTGTAACCAAGGATGTATCTCCATAAAGGCAGTTTTATTTTGTCCCTACTAGAAGCTGCTGGCCGTTAGCCTGTGGTCATATTATCCACCAAGAGAGTTTAGACACGTGATCACCATCTGTGTTTACATCCGTCTGAGGGGAGACACAGCCACTGCATGTGAGAGGATTCACACTGTCACTCTGCAAAGCTGCAGACACAGCACCCTGAGGCATTTGTGATCATTTCTGGGGACTTCAGAGAGTACTTTGAACTCTACTTTGGCTGCTTTTTTCCAGACCGTGGACTGGCCAACATGGAACAACAAGACAATTGAATTGCTGCATGCTAATATCAGGGATGCATACAGAGTCACACTCCTCCCCCCACTTGGGAAGTCTGACCACAACCTGGTTCACTTACAGCTACAATACATCTCCCTGGTTCAAAGACAGTCTGCAACAACTCGCACCTCTCAGAGACTGTTATGACATCACAGACTTGGGTGTGCTGCTATGAGGATATTGAGAGGATGATACACTGTCTGACGGATTATCTCTGTGTGGACGTGGTCTCCCCCACAAAGACTATCAGTGTTACCCTAATAACAAGCAAAGGGGGCCAAAGCTGTTCTCAACTGCCTCAGCCTTCTCAAACCCCAGGTGCAACCTGCCCAGGAGAGTCTGCAGTTTACAAGTGTGGAGGACGCCATCCTCTTGCTGCTACACTGAGCCCACTCGCATCTGGATAGGATGAGTAACATAATAAGGATCCTCTTTCTGGATTTCTCGAGTGCCTTTGTTACTATCTAGCCCCTTCTGCTTGAGGACAAACTGAGCAGGACGCAAGTGGACCCCTGCCTGGTCACCTAGATCTCCAGCTACCTCACCAACAGGCCGCAGTATGTCAGGCTGAAGGACATCACATCTGACGCTCTGATCAGCAGCACCTGCTCAGAATAGCCTTAAAACATGTCACGGATTACTGCAACATCTCATTTTTTAAGCCTTACCAGAGCTGAATATGGATATTCAGCCCTGCAACATCACACGTATGTATAAAAACACGGGAGTGCATTATAGGTATGTTTTTTGTGTTATTTATACATGCACTTCCTTACATGTATAGTCTTCTGTAAATACGCAACATGGTATGTGAATGCACTAATCTACACATTATATATGACAACTGAAGAAAAGCCAGGGCTCAGTTTCCACTGGATGAAAACCCACTGATTTGCATTCATATGCAAATGCTCATGACACTACATTATCTGTATTATGATTTCTAGGATCCGTGGCTCAAACTCTTTTGCATGATGGTTGTCTGTTCCTATTTCTGCAAATAAATTACTTTTTTTCTATTCAAGTACGAGAAAAAAAATATCCTCTGTGCTTGATTTGATCTCGCTCACAATAGCGTAATCCCTGTTCAGCTGTCTTTACCGTCAAAAGAAGATAAATGTAAAATGATGTCCTATTCAAAGTATGTTCACATAGTCGAGGAGACTGATGAGAACCATTAGGTGGCTGATTACTCTGAATGGTCATCTAATAACCACAAAACAAAGAGGAATTATCAAAGGGCCATGGTTACCATATGGTGCAGATCCATGACATCACTGTATTCAAAGATGATAAAAGCCCTACAGACACCATTCAGAGGTTTGAAATACATGCTGAGAGCAGTGAGGCTGTTTATCTTTCACCTTCACCCTATAAATAGTTCATCAGATGGAGACACAGAGTTTGTATGTGCATACGTTATCACTGTTTTAAATTTGGTCCTAAATCCTTTTGATTAGCCATCTGCTGCTGGAGCTGCTTTACTGATCGCAGCAAAACTCAGAGGAACTCCTTTACTTTTCAAAGACTTGTTTGCAGCAGAGTTTGATGCAAGAGGATTCACACCTATGTAATGATGCAGAGCGAATCAGCATGATCTGATTCAGCGCAGAAGATACAATGTGGTTGAGATGATTCAATGAGTTTAATCATTTGTTAATCAAATAAATTCAAATAAAAATGGTTTATTCTTTTCACAAGCCCTGTTTAAGTGATGCATCTGTTCCAAGGTTACAGTACAGCTGGCTCACAGAATTAAGGGAGTGCAAGGTCAACAAGGACAACAAGGTAAAACACAGTTAAAAGATGGATGAAGATGAAAAAGATAAAAACGGCTACAGCATCTGCTGTTGTCTTTGAATGAGACAAGCTGTTTGCAAGCAAGGCATGGGAGATACTATGCGCACCACTCCTGGGGGTTAGAAGTATGAATCAGGACCAGAGGCGGGGGAGGTTGGGTGACGCCTTAGTCACTTAGTGTTGTCGCTTCCAGTTAATTATTAGGTTAGTCATGCTCCTCCTCACTGGCATTCACTGTTTCTAGGTTACAAAAATTGTCCCATGGCACCTAAGTATCTTTTGGTGGTGACTGAAGTCTGTTTTGAAATGCTTCATATTTGCTTTTAACTAAAGAAAACCTAATACGTTTTAATCAAAACCCTGTCATGGCAGCTCTACCCCTGGAAATATTACATTGGAAAAACAAGTGTTCAAAAAGCGTCATTATGTTCATCTGAGAGCACAGGGACAAGGAACTGTTGAAGCAGAGGGGGTTTTTTGCTCCAAGGATGCTGAGGGCTGAAAAAACGCTAAATTGCATTCGGTTTGAAAAGACAATATGTACTGATGCATCTAGATTTTAGTTGAAAATGGCATCCTTATACAGCTGCTCTACTGATGCATTCATGTTGAGTGTTTATGCATCGCTATGAATCTGCTAATCCTCCCATCCCTACTGTACACACTGGGATAATGCTAATG